TGATATTGACACCCTTATTCCTGCACTGCTACCTACAGAGATCCACCCTCATGTTTTAGTAGCCCTATTGGAATTCAGCACATCAAAATCATAATAAATAGCACATTTTATCTCTGAAGCAGACGACTTCCCAAAAATTGTAGACCAGTGTAATGTAACAGTGCATCATTGCTACTAGCAGACATTACTTTTTTCCAATGATCAAGAACAGAAGGTATTAACTGTAACCTATACACCAGCAAGACATAAAAACTTTCACAGTGGTTCCTCTACCTTGACTTATCTTTTTATGTTACTTTTTACTTTCTACTTCTGATTCTTTTATTAGTCTTTTTATTTTCCTTGTTTTGCAAAGATTTAACATTTCACAAGACCACTTGGCAAGGGTCAAAAAAGACAATTAAAATGATAGAAAATATCATGGTCCACTTCCATTATGATTACATATAGATATTACAGTAGTACCCAGAGGCCCGACAGAGCTGTATAAATATGTACAAAGATGCAGTTCCTGCCCCAAAGGTCTTACAATCTAGGAAAGCATTTTAAAGGGTTAACATTTCTGTAAATGTGAAAATAGATTGCACTAAACTTTGTTCCCATTTCTTACTTTAGAAGAGCTCAGATATAATTTTTAAATCAAAATGTCTTTTTTCAGATCAGGAGCTAGGTAGGTCCTAAGGTGGTTTGAAATGATACAACTCCATTGAAGTCTTCAGTATTACATTGATTTACATCAGCTGAGGATCTAGAGCCTTCGAACTTTTGCTTGCTCTACAATACCCAGTACTACAAGTGTTTGTTGCACTATTATAGCTACAAATCTCTTAAGGCATCAATCTTCTGTGTGCAGAACTACACCATTTTAAACTACATTGACCTGAAACCTGTAACTAAACTGATAGCCTCTAAAAAAATATTTTAGCATGACACTAGGGCTTATCTCCTGTGGGCCAAATTCTGCCCTTAAATGTACATTCACAGCAAATTCATTGTAAGCTGATGTGCATGCACCAGAGGACAGAAAGAATTTGTTCCTAAATGTTTAATAGGTTGATAAAGGCATAATGTACTTTACTGAACAGGTTGAACGATAGCCACCGTATTCTATGGTATACTCAAAGCAAAGCAGTACTGTATGGATTTGTTATACCTGGACAGGGTTGTGTGTTGCAAAGTGCCTCTTCAGTGTGAAGTCCAAGGCAGATGTCCCCTCCATAGGCTGGGGCTGGGTTTGTGCATGAGCGGGTCCTCATGTAATGTCCACCTCCACAAGTTGCTGAGCACTTTGACCATGATGACCAACAAGACCAACCTCCATCAACTGGAAAGAAATAACAACTCATTGTTCTAAGTCTCTGCATGGATGAACCATTTAAATCAACCTATCCAGTTTGTGTTCTATGGGCATGAGTCAAAGTCTACTGCAGTCAATAGAAGATTTTTAGGCCTCACCTGGCAAATGGGATCAGGCTATGAAGCTTACTTTACATTCTGAGATTTATAAAAGTATTGTCCAATGAAAGGAAGAGTAAGAAGAGTAAGAGCCCAGTGTGGATACAAAATTTATGTCCGCAGATGCAGATATCCGCGGATATAAATAAGTATCTGCGGAGCTGCAGGGCTCTACCAGCAAAAGCAGCAGCATGTCAAGCCTCCACTCCCAGCCCTGCACTGGTAGCTCCGTCGGCATGGCTGTTCCACTCACAGCCCCACACCTAGCCCTGCCCACTGGGTTGCGCACCAGACTCACTGGTAGCTATCCCTGGTCCTGCTCGTGTGTGCAAGCGGTTAGCACACTCTGGGACACGAGTCCTTTCCACACAGTGGTCTACGTCTCCTGTCCTGGGGCATGCGAGCCGCTTGCACACACTAGCGCAGCCAGGGATAGCTGTTGGTGAGCCTGTTGCTGCCCCAGTGCGCAGGGCTGGGGCAGGGAGTTTGTTTATAAACAGAGGCAGGGTGATTACGATAACAAAAGGCTTGTCATTAAATTAAATTAAGGATCATTAGATGATCCTGAAAGCATTGCCAGGTACTCAAATTAAAAGATAGGATACAAAGGGTAGGTTGCACCATCTCAAAAAAGACACTAAAATGGGGGGGGGGGGGGCAGGGGGAGAATATAGAGAATGGCAATAAAAATGATTGGGGTTATGAAACAGCTTCCTATGAGGAGAGAGAAAAAGGACTGGGACTGTTCAGTTTGGAAAAGAGATAACTAAGGGGGGATATGATAGAGGTCTATAAAATTATGAATGATGTGGAGAAAGCGAATAAGGACACAGCTTGGCTGCCTGTGGGTTAAGAAGCACCTGCTAATTTTTTCCCATGGGTCCGCCAGTCTTGGAGCACCCACACAGTCAGTGCCTATGAACAAGGAAGTGTTATTTACCTGTTCACATAACACAAGAACCGGGGGTCACTCAAGGCAATTAATAGGTAGTAGCTTTAATACAAATATAAGGAAGTATTTCTTCACTCAACGCACAATCAACTGGTGGAACTTGGGTTTTAAAAAAGAACTGGATAAGTTCATGGAGTATAGGTCCATCAATGGCTATTAGCCAAGATGGTCAGGGGTACAACCCCATGCTCTGTGTGTCCCTTAATGTCTGACTGCCAGAAGCTGGGACTTTATGACAAGGGATGGATCACTCAGTAAATTGCTCTGTTCTGTTCATTCCCTCTGAAGGGGGGAGGGATAGCTCAGTGGTTTGAGTATTAGCCTCCTAAACCCAGGGTTGTGAGTTCAATCCTTGAAGGGGCCATTTAGGGATCTAGGGCAAAAATCTGTCTAGGGATTAGTCCTGCTTCAAGCAGGGAATTAGACTAGATGACCTTCTAAGTTCCCTCCCAGCCTGGATAGTCTATGAAGCATCCAGCTGCTGTCAGAAGACAGGATACTTGGTTAGATAGACCATTGGTCTGCCCAAGTATGGCCTTTATGTTCTTTATAGCACAACTGCAAAAGAATGACTGAAGTTGATGTTTCACAGAGGTGGGCTGAGAGTATGGGTTTTGGGTTTCAAAACCAAAGCAGGTTTGGTTTGGATCTGGATTCCTTTATATCCAAACCATGGAAGTTGGAGGTGGCATGGATATTTAGACCATCTCTGTTTTAAGCAGAAATATGCATATAGATACATTTAGGTTTCTGGTTTTAAGTTTAAAATATCACCATCTCTTTTAATAGTTATGTAGGAAAATAATTTGTTGTCAACACATCTGCTTAACTTTATAAGAATGCATAATAAAATACACACCACTAATAAGTGAAGCCTATAATAAACAAAGCAGAGTTGCCAGTTAACGATTTTACTGGGGTATTCCCTTTCCCATTCCGAAAATTGTTTACGCAGTTTTAGTCTTCCCTGCCTACCAGTCTCATGCAGTCCCCAGACAGCTTTACAGAAGGGATTCTTGTTGGGATGACAGATTGTACATGCATAACAAGAGCATGGTTCAAAAGATGCATAAATGAGATTTACAAATACTTCTTGAAATATGTCCCCATTTTTCTAAAAAATAAATGTTACATAGCTGTGGCTTTAAATACATTTTCGGAACATAAGAACTGCTACACCGAAATACACTAATGATACACACCTAGTATTGAATGTATATGTGCACATCAGGTATTTATGCCTGCACATAACTTGGCATAACTTTGTGTAAATAAATGACTTATGTCTAGGCACATACAAATCTATGTAACCCACACATCTCCCGGGTGAGGTGTTCTGTCCCATCTAGTGGCACCGAGACCACTTAGAGAGAGATTAATGAGTCTGCTCTACAGCCTTAGCTAAGGGCCACATGGCTTTTAGCTCATGCATGTAGCTCCAGAGGTCCCAGGTTTGATCACACCTGCTGGGGTTTGTCGGTATTACATGTACAACTGCACACACCTAACTTTGAAAATCAGGCACCAACTGAATTCCTTTTACAGGCACCCTTAAAAAGTGGATGTTTACCATCCACAGTAGTTAAATTTACCATAGCATTTGCAATATTTCCAACTCTAAGCATAGGGAATACCACACTTTATTAGAGGTAAATACTTCTATTGCCTTACACAATTTATTTTAATGGTTCATTCGTTTTGATGCACTCTTTGGGAAACCTTAATTTATGGTTCATTGACATGACTGAATATAAAATCTATGTACCTCTCAAACAATACTCCTTAATGAGTCCTTTTGAACCTTTCTGTTCTCAGAAGTCAAAGAGTATTTAAAGGTGCAAAATCTTTTACTTCAGTTATTGGTCCTGCTTTGAGCAGGGGGTTGGACTAGATGACCTCTTGAGGTCCCTTCCAACTCTGAGATTCTATGATTCTATGATTCTATTGATATGGCTCTGCATTAAAAAAAAATTACTATGTACTGTAGTGCACTTATCCAAAAAATATTCATATTTAAATCTTCCAGGCAGTGACATTGAAGAATACTTTAAATATATTGAAGACGGGTCATTTTGCTTAGAAAGCAAGTTACATCACAGACACATTTGTCAAGTCAAATAGAACTCATTTATATGGAAAGATTGTAATAGCAGGAAAATGAGTTTAGAGGATCTTTTTTATTTGGGTATCAATATCTGCCTGTGCAGCTATGCAGACAATCTTACATATAATGAATATTCAGGATCTCATGCTGTTCAAGCAGGCAGTGTAGTAGTCTATACCTGCAGCTACTAGTCAAATGGGCCTTTAATAGACGTCATTAGCATATGTAAAATTTCCTTTCTATAATGTTTTACAATGTGCACTTATTGTACTGAGTTACCTTGAAAAGCAACAAACCATACAGCCAACAAAGCACTATAAAAAAAACAGTAAATGAGATATTTATGGTACCACGTAAACCATTTCTGCGAAGTGTTACTAGCTTGTCTGCTTTCCAATAGCTCCTAAAAAAGAATCTATTTTGACTGATCGATCAGTCATCATTACCTCACCCACCTTGTCTCTCTAATATCCTGGGACCAACATGGCTACAACAACAGTGCATACAGATTTCTGTTTTGTAACTACAGTTATTATAGCTATGTTATAAGGCAGGAGGAGGAGCGGGGAGATTGGACACATTATAATAGAATATGTGACAGAGGCTTAATTGTAGTTGTGCCAAAGGGCACCATTATAATATGTGCTGTCCTTTCTACCTATTTAGGCTGCCATCATAAATCTCTAGTTCTCAAAAAAGCTGACTACTCCCCCTTTTATCTGTTCAGCTAAACTTTTTCTTCTTAACAATAGGGCATGATAAAGGCATCATCATGGTTAAATAAGATCAAAGGAGTGGGTGTTTACTGCATGAGGTTTCACAGGACCTAAATAGAACTCTGTGGTTGCTTTCATCTTTTTATAATGTTGCTTAGCAACCCAGGACCATCTGTTTTCTCTTCCTTTGCTGTCCATGATGTAGAGTCCTTAATGCTGATTCAGCCTTATTGATAAAAATGAAGAATTATGAAGAAAGCTCCAGACATTACATAATTTCTTTACATAACAGTATAGCAGAGCTATTGGATAAAAAGGGTAGTTAAAATAATTAATTACCCAATAATGGAAAATGGTTTCAAAATACTTCACAAGTATTCAGGTTGGTATGTTGTGTAGCAAGGCCTTTTCAACAAGCAAGGGTGCTCTCAAAACAACGTTTTCTTTTATAGGGGTTGTTTTTTGTCTTCCTGAGCAATCAAGCAACTCTCTGCCTAATAGCTGTTGTCCTGGTTAATAAATATTGCTCCACAAAGACGAGAAAAAAAAATCCCGGGGAAAAGGATGTTCCAGGGGAAAATAGTCTATAGAAACAGGACCCCCTGGTGCTCCAATAAAACAGCCACACCACTGGACAATTTCCAAAAGACTATTAAGTAAATTGGCCATCCTTCCATGCACTTTGGGTTTTACAAAAGAGAGGAAGGAACGATGAACAGAGAGGGTGATCCTCTTCATTCTCAAAAATTTGGACGGAATTGTGACAGTAGGGGTTTTGCACAGATTGGGCGGTATCCTTCACAACTGAAGCTTTCATTTAAGTTATTTCTAGCCCTTCTGGGTATGAAGATAAATAAAAAGTTACTCATCTAAAGGTTATCTTGTTGAGAACATAGCAAAAGAGAATGAATAACAGCAAGCAAGATTGGAGTCTTCTCTGTTCATATGAAAGAGAGTGAACTGATAGAGATTCACAGAAATGTGAATGGCATCAAATGACTAAGCGGAATTAGAATTTCGCACTAGCACAAATGTGGAATTTTGGGGTGCCTGTGAAAGTGACGGATTGGAGACCTGACTCTCTGCTGTGCCCTTCT